CGAGAGTCCCGCCCCGTCGCAGCAGGAGCCCGCCCTATTCCTCGCCGGCCTATTGGAGAGGGCGTCGCCATAGGCTCCAACCAATGGGATCACGGCTGGCACAGCGCGTCAGGATAAGTGGGTCCCCGCTGACCCTGCGCTGGCCCCCTCCCCCCTCTTCTCGGATTCCAGGACCCTTAGACCCTTCGCCTGGGCCTCTTGGACCCTTAAACCCCCTCGCCTGGGCCTCTCGGACTCCTAGACGCCCACGCCAGGGGCTCTTGTACGTCGAGGCCTCTTGTACAGGGCTCTGTACCCCGAGAACTCTCTTCTGTAGCTTTTGTACCCCAAAACCCCTCTCCAGGGCTCCTAGACCCCTCGGGGCTCCAATACCCTGAGGTATCTCGCTTGGGGCTCTCACACCCTGAAATCCCTGTTCGAGTTATATCCCAAGTCAAGACTCCTCATTGGTGGCTCCCGTATCCTGAGACTCGCTCACCCGGGGTCCTCTACCCGAGACCACTCGACTGGGGCTCCTGGACTTTTAAGACCCCTCTCTTGGGGCTCCTGTGCCCCAAAATCCCGCTCCTGGGGCTCCGGTATCCTTAGACCCTTAACGGGGCTCCTGTATTTTTAGAGCCCTCTCCTGGGGCTTTTGTACCCTGAGACCCCTCACGGTGGGCTCTAGTAATCCTGGACTCCTCCTTGTGGACCCCAGTACCTTCAGACCCCTCTTCTGGGGTTCCTGGACTCCAGGAGCCAGCACCCCAGCCTGAAAACCCCTTCAGGGCCCGAGTGACAGATCCTTAGTTCCTCCTGATGGGAGTGGTGCCCCCTCCCTCCCATGGCTTCCCCTGCCCAGCACCCACCCCAAGGAAGGGAGTTCCTGTCCAGGAACCAGGGTTGGGGTGATGGCAGCGAGGTTAGTGTGGAGTAAAGCAGGCCCAGGCCCAGGGAGCTGTCCTGTGACCTGCTTTCCTTTGGGACCTCCGAGTGGGTGGCCCTGAGTGCAGGTTGTCAAGGCGTTTGAAGTGAAGGTGGTCATTGATGCGGGTTTTAATGTGTGATAAAAGTGGCAGTTATGGGTCTCATTAACATGTTCGCCCCACTTTTTTGCTGTTGGCCTAGAGCAGTGATGGCGAACCTTTTGAGCTCGGCTTGCCAGCATTTTGAAAAACCCTAACTTAACTCTGGTGCCGTGTCACCTATAGAAATTTTTTGATATTTGCAACCATAGTAAAACAAAGACTTATATTTTTGATATTTATTTATATATTAAAATGCCATTTAACAAAGAAAAATCAACCAAAAAAATGAGTTCGCGTGTCATAGGTTCGCCATCACTGGCCTAGAGTCTTAAAGAGACCTGAGGCTTCCACAGGAAGTACTTAAATTTAAGCTGCTGCCTTTTAATAACATTGTAGCCTCTAGGATTAGAACTTTTTAAAATGACTCTATTTATGGGAAAACATTACATTTGGTTTTCAACCTTGAATGAGTGCCATGTCGGATGAGTTTGTAAAGTGTAACATTTTACTAAGCTAAGTTTAGTTTCATGGTCATTCACAAAACCTTGTTCAATTTATGGTACTGTGAGCCTAGGTGAAGAAATAGGGGAGTATGTGTCGGGGTGCCCTCGTGGTCTTGGAGCATTGTCATCTGTGTAGTCGGTTGCCAGAAGGTGTATGGGGGGAGAGCCCATGTTGCCCCTGACAGTCATACAGTCGGCTGTTTTGCTTTTTGTGGTTGGGTTCTTGATGATACATAACTTTTTAAAGTATCCCACAACTCTAGAATTTGCCAAATCAGTAAGGAAAATGTTGGCTGATTATAATATCTCCATGATATTGCCTGAGTTTTTGTTTCTTTTCTGTACATATCTTTAAAAGAAATATTTTTGTGAGATATGTTAATGTAGGAAATCCCATAAAACACACAATATAGTTGAAAGAACTTTTATTTAAAAATAAGTTGTGTCCCCATTACCCAGTTTAAGGTTACCCCTAATCTGTCATAACCCTCCCTCCCTCTTAGATGTAATTTCTCTCCTGGTTTACAGAAATTATCTCCTTGCTTTCCTTTATAGTTTTACCATCCACTGGTATATAACATTCCTACAATACAGTGTTAACCTGTTTGAACAATACCTGCTTAGGAGAACACTGTTTATCCTTTGAATTTGTATTTTTATTTTTTTGGTTCAGGGTTACTCAACCCACATTTCTGTTACATGTAGCTGTAGTCTGTTCTGATGGCTGAGTTTATTGATTGAACAGTGCACAGTTTATCCACTCTCTGTTGGTGCCGGCCTTGTTGTACATGTGTGCTGGTGCCCCAGGACAGGTTTCCAGGACATCTGCAGGTTCCCCCATGGTCCTAAAGCAGGCACTTCCTGTGAAACCTCTCCTATGCTGAAATGACATAAAGCAAAAGGCAATTACCATTAATTCATATAGAACATCTTTGAGTGGTCCCAAACCCCCAAAATAACCTGCCAGATTATACCAATGAGCCCATAAAATAACACTAACACATAGTAAAAGGCAGAATACACACAATAAGTCGAGATTCAGTATAGCTCACAGATACAGCTCAAAGCTCGGTGGCGAGATGCTGAGAGGCTGCTTGTGCTTCCCAGGGAAGGAGCTTGGTGGGGCCACGCTCCCTGCTCTGGTGCGCGCTGCCTCTGTAGTTGCTCCTGCAAAACAAATGCAGGATGCTATTTCAGATTTCAGCCTTTTTTCGTAGAAGAGAAGATCCCTTTGGGATTTCTTTTGGTTATTGAAACAGATAGTGATGTAGGTCTCCTAAAATGAAGTGGCAGAAGGTGAACTTTGAAAAGCAGGGGATACCTGCATGTCAGGGCGCATGAACTACTAGCTAAGTGATGCCAAATGCTGTTCCCAGTCACTGTTGCTGTTTTCACTCCCAGGAGCAGTGAGAGCTTTTGGTGTTACTAGACTTCTTAGTTTTCACCATTTGGTGGGTGTGTCATGGGACTTCACTGTAGTTTGAGTTTATTGAGATACTGTGATGGGAAAAGCATTTTGACATGATATATATAT